ATATATATATTATATATTCTGTCAAATTTATTACACTGAGTTAAGTAATGCAGATCAGCTTCAAATATAGTATCACACCATCTCTGCATCCATTTTCTCATCTGTAAAATCGAGATAAAAATGTTTTCCCAACCTACCTGAGAGGTACTGTGAGGCTTAAAGGAGGTAATGTAGCTTTGAACTACACAAATGTTAGGGATTACCATACCGCATATTTCTTTTTATAGGAGTTGTAGGGGAAATTAGGGTTTGGCATTTATCACAAAGAGTGGGTTCCTTTTTAACCTTTGTTAGAATGGTGGGCTATTCTTAGGGGAGCCCAAGTACAGTTGGGATGGTAGGAAGAGCATAAACATGATCTCTTGGCTTGCAATTTTCCCGAGAAGGTATTACAGTTGTGGAAAATACAATGGTGGTGAGATTTTTGAAATGGAAGTTCCCCAGCTAAGTTAGTCGTTGCTGCTCCCAACTTACCTATCCTTCTTGTACACTTGTCCCAAGCCTACTGCCGTCTTAATTCTCTCCTGGCAGGTCTGAAGCAAAATGTCATGTAAGGAAAACTTAGTGAAGAACTGCCTGCTTTTGGAGTGGATCCTCTCCTTTATTTCATTTCTTTAGATTCCAAAAGGGATGTACTACTTTGGGCAACACTTATGAATTGACATAATTTTTATTATTTCTTCTTATGTATCTCCCCCCGCCTTAACCATCTGCTGATGTTTTTTCTTTTCCTTTCCTTGGTCCTTATTTTAGTTGACCCAAATACCAAAGTCTATATCAGTGATGGTGAACCTTTTGAGCTCGGCGTGTCAGCATTTTGAAAAACCCTAACTTAACTCTGGTGCCGTGTCACATATAGAGGTTTTTTGATATTTGCAACCATAGTAAAACAAAGACTTATATTTTTGGTATTTATTTTATATATTTAAGTGCCATTTAACAAAGAAAAATCAACCAAAAAAATGAGTTCGCGTGTCACCTCTGACACACATGTCATAGGTTCGCCATCACTGGTCTATATCATCAGTGCTGTTTCTTGAGATGTTGTTTTTGTTGTAAAATCAAAGTACTACTTTATTAAATGAGTTATTTTACACATTATGACCATCAATATAATTACAATTGTAAAAAAAATTTATAACAAGGATGGACTGATTTTCACATTTCCAAATTAGGGTCAACTGTACATTTACACAGAATTGTCTTTGCATGAAGCCCAAAAGGGAACAGCATAAAAATGAGTGTTTCTATAGCCCCTTTATTTTTGCTGATCAACAGTTTGTTAGAAAAGCAGCTGTAAGTTTGCTACCTAAGGTCTAAGACAGTAGAAGAGTCAAAGTTGTCATGAATTCACCTGTAAATAACTTTATGCCTGGACATCAGCCAATTCTGGAGGGAGTGGAGTCTTAGGATGCTTGCTCTCAAAGTGCTGCTTGAAGGTCTCAGGGTCTGGCATGTGTGTCCTACAGACAGTGCAGGTATAGATTAAGGCAGCTTTGGCAGCAGCCTTTTGGTCATGTCCTTGTTTCTTCTTTTGTCCGGAATGCTTTTTGTCATTTTTCTGCTGAGACTGAATCTTCTGCTGTCCACGAGCCATATCCGGGCAGGAACAGTCTTGTGTCCGAGGTGAGAGACCTCAAGCGCGAAAGGGCTGGTGGAGGTGTCCGGAGGCAGAGGAAAGGGGAGCGCGCCCAGCACCGTTTCGGTCTCCTCCACCCACCGAGGAGGGGAAAGAGGAGCCACTGCTGCCTGCGCCCGCCGCCGCCTCAGCCTTGGGAAGGCCACTCGAGATGTTGTCTATTTTTTCTTTGGGTTAGTGTTTCCCAGAGAGGCTGAATGCATGTACGTGTGCAGTTCTTTCCAGGGCCTTTTTTTTAAAAAAAAACTCCTACTACTCTAGTATTTAATATTAACTAACTAATGCTATTCCTTTTTAAGGCTCAACTCCAGCGTTGAGCCATCTCTCAGAAAGTGGCCTAACCTCGTCGCCACCCTGAACGCAATGGGGAGTCACTGGGACCTCCGTCCTATGAAGATCTCTATCCTTCAGCTTTTCAGGACCTAACCAGTACAGCGGTGAAAAAAGGGAAGCCTCATTTCCCTTGCGTGGTCTCCTTTCTGGGAGGGGCTAGGCATGCGTTGGGCGGGCACTTGTTCCAGCATCCCAGGGAGAAAAACGCTACAGCTTTCCCCGCCCCCAGAAAAGAGCCATTCTCCAGGTGGGTCCCTTTCCCAGCCGGGGCGGAGAGCAAAGACCCTCCTCCGGTGC